TGTTATTGGTTAGGCTTCTCGTCAAGAGTAGGCTATTCGTAATTAAGTTCTGGGAGAGTCAAAAATTATACCGGACTTTTGACTGCATGGGGTGTCAGCACCCCCAACTCTCCACCCTCCACTGTCCAAGGGTCAACCATACTTACAAGATTGTTATCCACTTAGAAAAAGAAAGTTCTTTTGTCTTTAAGTTATACATTGTTTCTACTATGCTTACAACCTATATTATTAGCTGGTAAAACAGCATAGCTTTATTAGCAATGCTACTAAAAATGAAATTCTTTATTGGCAGTTACAGATTATCAGTATGGCAAACTTCTGAGCTCTAGTGCTATAAACATTTTTATTTAGAATTTGAGAATTCAGAATTTTAGAATTGAGTTTTGTGCTTACAAAAATTACCCTTGGACTCTATTGTTGATAACCAGATCAAATATATAGACTGAACAGGAAAAATATTGAGTACTTGAGTACTTTTAGTGTTTCCAAAGCCTCAGTTGGAGTTACCAGTATTATAATTTGAAACTGATAATACAATAGAAAACATTAACCTCTTTTTTCTGGATCCTTTTCAAGCCAGAAGTTAAAGAGGTTCTCCTAAGTCATTTCTTGGTTATCACCAGAACCATTCATGCCTGATTCACAATGATTTTTGAGTCTCTTCAATATATATTGATCATGTATTGATTAATCTTTTTTCCCCATATTTTGGTCAGATAAATTCAGATGTATATAACAGAATACCTTTTCTTAATTGAACTACACTATAATATCTACATGATTATACAGTAAAGAAAAATATACTGAGCCTAAAAAAAAAAAAGATTGTTATCCACTTTATTCCTATTTCAGATTTTTTTTTTTTTTAAGTGCCCTCTATCCACTTCAAGGCCACACTGTGTATACATTTGCATTTGGTCACACTTACTGTAACCTCTTCTGGAACTTTACTTCAACATGTGGCTCCTCTCTCTCATCACTTCAATCTTTCTTCTCTCAATTCATACCCTCAGACTCCAAATAAACTCCAGTCTCAGCCTTCCTAAACAAAATCTTTTTGTCCCCCCCTCCATAAATTACTATCTATTATCTTCCCCTTAACCTCTAAATTTCATGAAATAACAGTCTTGGTGTTTTCACGGCTTACAACACAATTATTCTTCAATCTAATCCAGCTGTTGCCCTCACCTTACTGAAATTACTCTGCAAAGTCACCTATGACCTCCTAATTGCCAATTCTTGGTTCCCATTCTATTTGACCTTTCAGCAGCATCTGACCATTCCTCTTTCTCTGCACTTTCTCCTTTGGCTTCAGAAACAATACTCTCCTCTGATCATTCTACTTTGTGGGTCATTCCTCCCCTAACTCTTCTCTTCTTTGACTAATCTTGAAATTCTGTTCTTGGCCTTTCACTCCTCTCACTGTGAAACTCTACTTGGGAATTATTTTATCCGGTCCCATGAGTTGATGAATCAAAAATCTGTATATTCAGCTTTAAAACTCTCCTAAGATCCAGACTTATATTGCCTACTAGCTGGTAGTATACCACAGGTATCTCAAACTGTTCATGACCAAAACTAAACTACTATCTTTCCCCCATTCTCTACTACTCCCTACCTCATGAACCCCACCTCCCAATCACCCAAACAAGAAGTCTTCAGTAATGCCACCTGACTCATCCCTCGCCTTCAAGTGTTCACCAAACTTTACTAATTCTACCTCTGTGCTATCTCTCTAATCTATCTCTTCCATCAATACCTCTCCAGTTCACAGAGCTGATCATATCATTCCCTTACATAAGAAACTCCAATGGTTCAGGGCACCTGGGTGTCTCAGTCAGTTAAGTGTCTGACTCTTGATTTTGGCTCAGGTTCTGATCTCAGGGTCATGAGACTGAGCTCCGCATTGGGATCGTGCTCAGCTGGGATCTTGCTCAGCACAAAGTCTGCTTGTCCCTCTCCCTGCCCCTGCTCAAGCGCACATGCATACTCACCCTCTGTCTTTCAAATAAATAAAAAATCTTTAAAAGAATCTCCAGTGGTTCCATTATCCCAGCCTCAGTGAGCTGACCATTATTCCTGGATAAGTCTTGTACTTTCCCTCCTCTGTAGCTTTCTGCTCTTAGCTAGAATGCCCTCTCCACATCTCTGTCTCTTGAGCTTCTAACCTATTTTCAAGGCCCAGTAAATTGATACCCTTGCCATTTTAGATTTGCTTTAGTCTCTCCCTCTCCATAACTCCCCAAACACATTGTCTGTACTTTTCTCAGTATTATAGTTAACCTTTATCCAAGTTAGCTATGTATATTTTCATTTCCTACACCAAAAACCTATGACCTCAATACCTTGTCTTCAAAATCCTCTATAGGTTTAGTGGCAGATTCACTACCTTTTTAGTTCAATTCAAGGAATATTTACTTAGTGCCTGCTCTTTGCTACACACTGTCTTAGGCCCTGTAAGAAAACAAAGATGAGTCCCTGATCTCACTGAACTAATACATTCTTTACTAGCAGAAATGAGATATGTACCAAATACAGAAGATGTACAGTCTAACAAATCCCATTGGAGAGACCAGAGAAGCACAATGGGAGTCTGAGGATGAGATTACTTCCAATTTGTTTGCAAATTTCTATCTGGGTGTCTTTGATAGAACCAAGAGGATATTAAAGGAAGGAAGGATGGGGTCTGGGATGACTGTGACTTTATAAGCACAATGCTACACCTGTGGGAAACTCAACTAAAGCTCCATTTCCTTCCCTTCTTTATCTCCTTCTCCTCCACACCCAGTAGAAATCATATACATGTGTAGATTCTCTATACAAAAAAATAATTGCATGATAATGATCAGAGAAAACATATTTTTAAAAGGAATTACTCACAGAATCATAGAATATTTGAGTTGAAAAACAACAGTACTCATCTAATTTAACCACCCACATGATGATGAAATTCCCTCCCCCAAATCTGGCTAGTGCAAATAAAGACTCTGCTGGGAAACATTTAGGAATGGAGATCTGACCATCTCACAAGAAATCAATTCACCTGGAGGTAGTAACCGTTGTTGAGAAAAATTCTTCTTCATTTTGAACAAAACTACCACCTATTGGTAGGAAACCTAGTTTAATTTCTATTCCACATGGTAATTCTCTAATGTATGATGGGGGGTATTACATCTGATGTCCCTCCTACTTCCCTACCTACCTACGAAGTTTTCTTAGAAGTCATCACCTGACATAGTTTCCTTACTCCCGTGCCTATCTCAGAAGCTCCAATTATTAGTATGATCCTTTGACTAGGACATCAAGAATGACACCAAAGAGGAGCCCTTTGCCATTAGTAGATATCTATTTTTTTCCTTGAGTGACCTCAAAGTAACCCAATGATCTACAGGGTCTGTATGAGGTGGGTTGGAATTATGCATGCCACAAGGCTGCCCTTAGCTAGCAAGTCTAGATAATCACATAGGCCGTAACACAAAGCTGTTGACAAGAGTCTTCACAGCATACCAGCAATCACATGAAGTATTCAGAATTTTCTCTGTGTGAAGGAACAGTAAGTTGGAGTTAAAATTCAGTTAAAATGCTGTTAAGCTATGATGACAATATATACTACAAATGTATAATTCCCAAGAGCACTTGACCCAGGAAAAATCCATGAATGAGGATTCTCATGTAAACTAGGATTCACATAAGCCTACTATGCTCTGACTGAATCCATTCAGTACTGATGGGAAACAAAGCAATTCTCCTAAGTTAACTCTTCCAATAAAATGGCACCCCCATTCACTAGATCAACAGCCAGAAGTGAGGAAAAAAAAGCAGCAAAGGGGACTAAGCAGACTAGATCACTTCTACCTCCGCCCTCCCCACATCCCCACCAAGCCTTCTACATCCAGTTTGCTAACTTCAAAAGCAAATATACTTCTGGAACTTGGATCCCTGCTTACGTCATCTTAAGCAGATATGAGACTGCAGTATTCCAGTAAAGTTCAACATCTCCACATGACAAGTTCCAACACGGAGGCTGAACAGGAAATATTTAGAGAGGGCAAGTATGACCGTAGGATGCAATGGTCATGGGTCGTTAGGCAAAAACCAGCCTGAAAACTGAATCTCCTGGGGAGGTGGGAAAAGAGTACAAAGAGAGAGGGACGGGGACAAAGACGAATTTCTAGATGAGGGAAGTGGCCTAGTAAAACACTAAAGCTTATCTCCAGGATGCTAAAGCCAGTGCTAAATGTTCAGTGCTTAATGACAATGAAAATGTCAACCTGACCCCAAGCCCCCTCAACATTAGACCAGGAGATTCCCACACCTAAGTGCATTTGTTCACATGTTTTTGTTTTTAATACGCACCTGGTCTCCAGTAGCAGGACTATGTCCTTGGGCCTTGTGCTCATGCTATGACAAATTCATTTGTCATTTCTCCATTTTCAGAGTTAAAGCTCAGTGAACTTTCCCACTGTTGTTGCAAGAATTAACGTCATTTTAAACCATAAAAGCCCCAAACAACTCACTTAAAATGACAATTCAATTCTGTGGCACTACCTCAAAGGCCCACTGTCAACTCACCTCATCATCTTTTGCTGCAAAGACCTTTAGGACTTGATTTCCCATAAAATATCTCCTGTGGACCTGCAAGAGTTAACCAAGGAAAACAATTGGTTTTGACCCAAAATAAGTAATGCCTATAGCCGTAACGCCACAGTTACTAAGAAATTCTATTCAAAATGCTCGTAGCAAAAAAAACATTCATAGGAACTAGAAACACCTTATTATTTGAGGTTCAATTCAATTAAACACAATACCTATCTGAATTCCAAGTATATGTCAAACATTGTTCTGAGCACCGAAAACACAATAATGAACAGGATATAGTCTTGTCCTAAGGAGCTTAGACAAATATGAAACTGTACTACAGTATTAGGGTACAGCACTACAAAAGCACAAGAGTGCAATATTCTAGCTCAGGGCTCCGAGAGCACATAAACAGGGCATCCAGCTTGGTCAGGGCAGGCTTCTGCAAACAGTGACACCTAGGTCAAGACTTAAAGGATGCTCAGGAACAAAGAGAAAAGTCTCGCCCAAGTGTGCTGGGCAGAGACACTAGTGTGAATTAAGTCTGGAATGACATAAAAACATAGTACCTTTGGGGAACTGCTTTTGGAGTAGGTGCAGTGCCCTAGTATGAGGGGAGAGGTGAAAAATTAGATTAACAAAGATCAAATCATGAAGTGTCTTATGAGCAGAGTTAAGCGGCTTAGACTTCATCCCAAGAGCAAAGACGAGGCACTGCCAAATTGTAGAGACCAGAGTGAAGAACTCATTAGGGGGGCGGGGGCCACACTGGAGGAGGGGAGACTAGTGAAACCAACAAGAAGTACTTCAAGTCCTTCTGTCTCCCTTTTAGTTCCATTGCTTCTCCGGCAGGGTATGAGAGGGGTCAAAGCAGCTCCACCGATACCTGATTAGAAATGAAGACTGAAGGGTTCCTAGCATCATAACCAACTACCTGCATCTACTGACCAAGATCAACTTCTCTCCGCTCCATGTAATCTTGAGCCTGGAGCTTATCTGTAAGAACATGCCATGTGCTGAACAGGGCAATGCTCCTCAAGTGTTCTTCTGCCCTCCCACCTCTGAAGCCAAGAAACTGAGCACTTTCAGAATCACAGCAGCTCCAGAAGACGGAGTCTCAAAGGTGTGGGGGTTTGGCCCACATACTTCAAACACCCTCCATCTCCACTGCCAGTCCCCATTTGAAAACTATTTAAAGATATACGGGAATAATCCCATATTAAAACTACAAAGTTTGCTACATTCATATAGATTTGCCCTCCTATTAGAATCTGTAATGGTTCTTGATTGATGAAAGAACAGTTAATGATATTGTTTCCTAACACACTTAAATGACTTCTCAAAGGACAACCAGACATCTGGGAGAAGTTCTGGCTAAATTCTTACCCATTCTACAATTAGGTACCCAGAACACTGACAACTTGGAGGAAGACAAATTGAAAATTTAAGAGAATAATTCTCAATTTCACAATTAAAAAACAAAACAAATCAAAAACACCAAGATCAAAAAACCTATTTCATATAATAAAAATGCTCGCATCAATTCAATCCCGAAATGTTAGTTTCCCTCACTTTAAGGGAGGATGGAAAAATATGTGATCTCATTAAAGATAATTACTAGTCTCCTAAAAGGTGTGTGCTTAGTTGCTATGGAAAACTCCTTGCTCTTAAAAAAATATGTATGGTCTTCAAAAAGTTGAAAGTAGAGCTACCTACAACCCAGCAATTGCACTACCCCAAAGATACAAATGTAGTGATCCGAAGGTGCACCTGCACCCCAATGTTTATAGCAGCAATGTCCACAAAAGCCAAACTATGGAAAGAACCCAGATGTCCATTGACAGATGAATGGATAAAGAAGACGCGGTGTGTACACACACACACACACACACACACAATGGAATACTACTCAGCCATCAAAAAAAATGAAATCTTGCCATTTGCAATGTCGTGGATAGAACTAGAGGGTAGTATGCTAAGCAAAATAAGTCAATCAGAAAAAGACAATTATCATATGATCTCACTTATATGTGGATTTAAGAAACAAAACAGAGGATCATAGGGGAAGGGAGGGGAAATAAAACAAGAAATCAGAGAGGGAGACAAACCATTAGAGACTCTTAACCACAGGAAACAAACTGGGGGTTGCTGGAGGGGAGGGGAGTGAGGGATGGGGTAACTGGGGTCATGGACATTAAGGAGGGCATGTGATGTAATGAGCACTGAGTATCATATGAGACTAATGAATCACTGAACTCTACCTCTGAAACTAATAATATACTACATGTTAATTAAATTTAAATTAAAGAAGAATAAAATGGGAAAAAAATAAACACCTATCAGAATGGTTAAAATAAAAAAATAGCAATGGTGCCAAATGCTGACAAGCATGTGAAGAAACTGAGTCACTCACCCATTACTGATGGGAATATAAAAGAGCACAGCCACTCTGGAAACAATTTGACAGTTTCTGAAGAAACTAGGCATTTAGTTTTCTTACAAAATTAAACAGTTTTCTTTTAAAACTAAACTATTACAAAATTTAGCAATTGTACCCTTGGGCATTTATCCCAGAGAAATGAAGGACATTATACAAAAGCTGGTATTCAAATGTTTATAGCAGCTTCACTCATAATAACCAAAAACTGGGAAAAACATGTCCTTCAGTGGATAACCGTTTAAAAACAAAACAAGACAAAAAAAGCTCTGGTAAACCCATACCTAGGAATATTACTCAGCAATAAAAAGAAACAAGCTTATCGGTACATACAATAACCTGGATGAATCTCCGGAGAATTATGCTGAGTGGGAAGAGCCAGTTGAATGTCACATACCGTATGATTCCGTTTATATGCCTTTCCAAAGTAACAAAATTATAGAACTGGAGAACAAAGGAGTGGGTTCCAGGGATTGAAGAGGGGATGAGGGTGAGAGAGAAGTGAGCACGGCCCTAAAAGGGCAACAGGAGAGATCCTTGTGGTGATGGAATGTTCTGTATCTCAGCTGTATCAATGTCAATATCCTGGTAATAGGATTGCCTTAGAGTGTTCAAGATGTTACCTTTGGGAGAAATGAAGTATGGGGTACACAGGATCTCTCAGTATTATTTCTTACAACTGCATGTGAATCTAATTGTCTCAAAATAGAAAGTGTTTTTCATGTGTTCCCCCCAAGTTAATTAACCAATTAATTAATTTTAAAAAGATATGTATGCATTTCTTAAGATAATACATGAAAGCAGGGATGAAAACCAAACTAGTCAAAAAAACCAGCTTGTCCACCTGGTGGGCAAATTACAAGTGATTAATGGCATAGGCTCTTAAGTCAGGGAGAACTGGTTCAAAACCAATCTCTACTACCTTCTAGCTGTGACCTTAGACCAATTACATACTCAATTTTCGAATGTATAAAATATATTATCATAGCACCTATCCAGGAGGGTTGTAATAAGAATTAAATGGGAATTCACATAAAATGCTTACTATATTGAACTGAATATTAAAATCACTCAATAAATGGTGACTATTATGATTATCTTTATTGCACCCGTCTGAGATTTTACGTAAGATAAACATAGAGCTTAAAAACAACATAAGTTGAGGGGATCTGGGTGGCTCAGTTGGTTAAGCAACTGCCTTCAGCTCAGGTAATGATCCGGGAGTCCCAGGATCGAGTCCTGCATTGGGCTCCCCGCTCAGCAGGGAGTCTGCTTCTCCCTCTGACCCTACCCCCTCTCATGTGATCTCTCTCTCTCATTCTCTCTCTCAAATAAATAAATGAAATCTTTAAAAAAAAATAAGTTGATTTAGAGAACACGTCATGACTTAAAAGTTAATTTTAAGTTAACAGAACTCTTAAAATGGAAAAATGTACTTTTTGTTCAGCTCACTCTTTTTTGCTTTGTCATTTAACCAAACAGGCCCCCCCCATTCCCACCCTGGCATAGGTGACTTCAGTTATTTGGGTCATGAATTTCGGATCAGTCGTTTTGGATAGGTCTTTTCGAGCTAACTGGAATTAGGCAGACCCACTTCCCAACAGGCCAGTTTTTTTTTTTTTTTAAAGGATTTTATTTATTTATTAGAGAGAGAGAGAGAGAGAATGAGCAGGGGGAGGGTCAGAGGGAGAAGCAGGCTTCCCGCAGAGCGGGGAGCCCCCAACAGGCCAGTTTTAACACACAGGCCTGAACGAAGGTTCTGCTTCACTGGAAAGACTTAGGGGCACTGCCATTAACAACCGTAAGTTTTAAGTCTGTAGAAATCCCAAAGTGAATACTTTTATTTTTAAGAAATATATATTTAGTGTAATTTGTTAGAGAATTGTTAAAAACTCTCAACTCCAAAAAGTATCTGTTTTCACCATTAAAATCTTACCAACTTTCAGTAAGTACTCCCAATTTCCAGCTTAAGAAGTTTAAAAACATATCCAACAGTTTGGGCACATCATGGAAAACATCTCCCCACCCTCACAGAATTATTCTAACACCAAAGCACACAGGGACTATATCCCAGAGCAACACGAAGAAGCTCAAATCCAGTATACTGATTAATATTTATTTTCATTACAATTCTCACTTGAATTTCTTTAGAACCAACAAACATTGCTTTATCCCTATAGAGCCTTAGAAAAGATACGCTATAGGATATGCTTATTCATTTTCTCTGGTTGCCTACCTCAAGAACATTTAATCTAAGATCTCCAGGAATCTTTAATAACCCTTTCTAGAATAGTGTATGCTATCCCATGGCCCTCAGTGAATTACTGCATTTCCACTATGTGTTTTGTGTATCTCTGCATCAGTGTCTAAAGAATGTATGACTTAAGGACAGGCTTCAGATCCCAGATCTCTTTGTTGGACGTTGAGAAGGGTGACCAGCATAAACCAATGATATTCTACGAGGCCTGGTGTCATTCAAAACCCAAGTAGACCTTCATTCCTCTAAAACACTCTATTATACATAACCCTTTAGAGAAAGCAACACAATAGCAAAGAACTGAATGATGTTTCTTTAAGGCTATGTGAGCTATGACAGACAGCCAAGCTAAGAAGTGACTCTCAATGGAATATATTCTGATTCATGCTAAGCCTTCTCAAATTTTCTACATCTTGGTTTCTCTGTTCAAAAATTGAAGATAGTTAACACTAATCCCCAGACTACATTCAAAAAAAACTAAAAGTCAAATAAATACACATTGTAAATAAAAGGACCAATCGAAAGCATACCCTCTCAAATAATAGTAAGAGAAAAGTTCATTTCTTTTGTTGACAACGAGTAAAGTAAGTGCTATACCTGAGAAGATCTACAAAATCCCAAAACGGAGAAGCACTTCCCCTCCGATTTATATTTCATGTGTTCCTCATCCACTTTAGAGAAAGGAACGATATCACTTCCATAGCGGAACCCTAGAGAACAAGAGAAGAGCATTTGTTAATCATACGGGGCCTCATTTTCTACAAGCTGAAATTACCCCTACGCATACATTAACAATACACGCAGACTCCAGATCAAGCCTCTATATACTATTCCCTGGAATCAAATTACTGCCCCTTGTGATCAGTGGGGAAAAAGCAGCAGCAGATACACAAACAACATACACAGTATAGAGGCGATTAAAATCTAATTACATTTTTTAAGCAGCATCTTCTGCAATCTAGTTACCTTAATGATTATCTAGCCTAGAAGAAAGAATGTAGCAAATGTAATGTACCAGTTATCCTCCAAAGATAAACTGTAGTTGACTAAAGTATAAGTGTGATTTGTAAACATAATAACAAGAACACATTTATTCAGAAACCTGGAGACCCACAGAGAAAAATGCCCAAAGGAAATTTTCAGAATAAAATGTTCTCCAAAATGCATGCTGGAGACATACAAATGCCTAATGGGAGAAGCCAAAACTCTTCTATTTAGGAACATTCAATTGATAAGTTGGCTATTTTTCTGCATTTAAACCTACTTCATTTCTGGGATTATATTATCTGTTTTTTTCTTCTTAATTACTTTGGTTATTCATACAAATACAGGCCCTCGGTTTCTTAAAAATAACTCCAGTCCTGTTCCAGGGCCTCTGTTCTATGGAAAGTCATGCCCTTTCAATATACAGTCTCCTGTATTTGGTGGGAAGAACGATCATCAAATTCCAAGGATTCTGGCCTTGGGTAAATGGAAAGGAAAAGCACGCGCAACTTTACTCCAAGACACAAAGAAACTTGTACGTTTGGGGTAGATTCTGTGATCCAGTTTATCTGTTCCTGTCAATCTGTTAATGCCATGCATTTAATTAAAAAGAAATATATTTGTATTTTCATGTATGTCTTTTAAAAAAGCTGGTGATGAAAACAAAAACTCCAGCAAAAAATTATCAGGGAGGGGCGCCTGGCTGGCTTAGTTGGCTAAGCAGCTGCCTTTGGCCCAGGTCATAATCCCAGGATCCTGGGATCAAGCCCCACCTCGGGCTCCTTGCTCGGCAGGGAGCCTGCTTCTCCCTCTGCCTCCAGCTCCCCCTGCTTGTACTCTCTCCCTCTCGCTCTCTGTCAAATAAATAAATAAAATCTTTAGGGCGCCTGGGTGGCTCAGTTGGTTAAGCGACTGCCTTCGGCTCAGGTCATGATCCTGGAGTCCCAGGATCGAGTCCCGCATCGGGCTTCCTGCTTAGCAGGGAGTCTGCTTCTCCCTCTGACCCTCTTCCCTCTCGTGCTCTCTATCTCTCATTCTCTCTCTCTCTCAAATAAATAAATAAAAAATCTTAAAAATAAATAAATAAATAAATAAATAAATAAAATCTTTAAAAAAAAATTATCAGGGAAAAGTATGGCACATGACTAAGAGTGGTAACTAAACCAAATGTTCTTCCTAACTCTTCTCTGTCATCAGACATCTTGAATTTTTTAACTTGAAAATTCTAATTGAAACTGCCTTGTTTTCTGGTTCATCTACTGAAAGAGAAAATTAGTATCTAAATTTTGTACATGGCAAAAAGCACAGAATAGACTGCAACATATAACCGTATTCCTTGGCACACATATGTCTGCTAGGGCCTCCGTCTGCATATTAGGGGGCAGAGAGTGGAGTACAGGTGAAGGAAGTATGTGGGTAGCTGCACCAAGGTATAAGACAAAAAAGCGCCTCTGTGTTCTCTGAACTCAATGTTTAACTCTTCCCTCTCCATTATTGCTCCAGCAATAAATGTCTTTTTTGCCTAAAATAAACAGAGCTGGTTTGTTTTGTTTTGTTTTTGCTTGCAACCAAAAGAACTGGCATCTTATCTCCGTCATATTAATCTTAACACATAGCCTCAATGACACTCTGCTCCTCAAAACTAGAAATGGCTCCAGGTTGCTTTCAAGATTAAGCATCAACTCTTCAGCCTGTCATTCAAAGTCGTTCCTAATTCAGAATGGTCTGTAGAAACAAAGACTCTGAAGTAGGGCAGTCCTGGGTTCGAGTTCTGCCAGTTGCTAACTGTACGACTTTGAATACGTGAATGAGTGTCTTTCAGCCTCAATTCTCTCATCTGTAAAATGGAAACAAGAGTGGGATGCCTGTTTCATGAGGCTGTTTTGATGATTAGAAGGGAAAATTCAGGTCATCTATGGGATACTGTTCCCAAGTACTAAACTGTGTACGCCCGACACACCGGCCCAACTACCTGCTGTCACTGAGAAGCTCTCTACTTTCCTGGTCTTACACGTTTAATCATGCTCTTCTTTCTTTCAGTCATTATAGAAGGATCATATGATTAGTAACTGATGGAGCTAAGATTCTAACCCAGATCTGACTCCAAAACTCACCTTCTTGACTACACTACAATACAGAATTGAATTAAAGAATTAGTAGGGATTGCAGGATACTAATTACATTTTCTACTCATAATCGACCAAGAGAAAGGAAGGAATCGCAACCACCATCGCCTTAACCAGTCTCCCCCGCACCCACATACAAATATACACAAACATCGAGATTTAGTGCCACAGACAAAAGGCATTTTTTTTCAAGGCTTGCAAATTAAAATTATACCGGGTAGCACAAAGCCTGACAATGAATTTATCTAAAGACTCTAGTTTCTATCTTAACCATCTTGATATCTTGTAATTTCAGCTCTTCAAAATTCAGACACTCTCAGCTAATTTGTAAGCCCTCTGGATAGAGTTGCCCTCTAGACACACTACACAGATCAAATGGGTATCACACATGAAGTACAACTGTAAACATCCTAGTGAACATAAAGCCATATAATGGACACAAATGTGTCTAATCCCCTAAATTACCCTAAGGGAGCAGAGCTGGCAGGATTCCTAAGACCTGAAATAGGCACTCAGAAGAATAATCACCATGGAAGTAAGATGTGAAACAGAGTAAACAAAGAAACCTGCTTCAGCCACATTAACAGAAGTATTCTCTTAGCTAGTATGTTTCAAACTTTAAAATAAAACCAAGGATTAAGTCCTGTCACTGGAGGACATGTCAAACTCAGATGGAGTACCCAAGTAGATCCTGCCTCGGACCTGACAGATGAGCTCAATTTAGGACCTAGCGCCTCATGGTCCCTCCCATGGTCATGTCTCCAGAACTCAGAAAAACATCTGCCAACACTACCAGTACAAACCCGAGTCTGCCTCCCACCACCCGGAAGCAGCTCTCTCACGGGCGCACCTTGAATAGTGTCTTCCTTCGGGACCTCGGTTTCATTGTCGTCATTTAAGCAGTAAACGGTTTCTTTCTGTAGATCTTCTTTCTTGAGGGTTCTGGCGTCCACAACTGTCCAAGACTTTTTAACTCTCTCCTGTATAATCTTAATTCCAAAAAGAAAGGGAAAACAAGGAAAGCCAGGATTCTAATAAACAAAAAATGAAAACCCCATATATTCTCTGCTTTATAGGAAAAAAATCTGTAATAATTACTCTAGCTAAACTCTTCTGTTTGCTCTTGTCCAGTGAAATTTTCACTTATTTCATAACTCCTGCTGCATTTCACTTTTTCCCCGAAGGTAATCCACAGATAAATATTCATATTTGTATATACACAAGCACTTTCTATACAAAACCTTCAGACTCATAAAATGGGACCACACATTTTTACTACAGTTTTCCAATAGAGAAGAAAGGGAGAGCCATCTATCAGGGGCCAGAACTCAATAAGGAAATCCAAAAAGAAAACTAGAAAAAAAGAAGAGGAGGGATGCCTCGGTGGTTCAGTCAGTTAAGCGTCTGCCTTCAGCTCAGGTCATGATCCCAGGTTCCTGGGATCAAGTCCCACATCGGGCTCCCTGCTCAGTGGGGAGTCTGCTTCTCCCTCTGCTTGCCGCTCCCCCCTTCTTGTGCTGGCTCTCTCTCTGCCAACTAAATAAATAAAATCTTAAAAAAAAATTAAAAACCTCCTTTAAAAAAAAAAAAAAAAAGACGACTATATTCTATTCCAGGCTTGATGGCAGCTGAAATAAAGAAGTACCTCCTGGGGCGCCTGGGTGGCTCAGTTGGTTAAGCAACTGCCTTCGGCTCAGGTCATGATCCCAGGGTCCTGGGATCGAGCTCCGCATCAAGCTCCCTGCTCAGCCAGAAGCCTGCTTCTCCCTCTCCCGCTCCCCCGGCTTGTGTTCCCTCTCACGCTGTCTCTCTCTCTCTGTCAATTAAATAAATAAATAAAATCTTAAAAAAAAAAAGTACCTCCAAGGTTTTCGTGGATGTAGCATGTGTTTTAGAATTAAGTCCCTGAATATATAAATACTTGAATATATAAATACATGTTTATTTTCTATATTTAAATGTATGTATTTAGTTTATTAATTTTTTTAAGATTTTATTTATTTGAGAGAGAGAGAATGAGAGAGGAGAGAGAGCACAAGAGGGGGGAGGGTCAGAGGGAGAAGCAGACTCCCTGCTGAGCAGGGAGCCTGATGTGGGACTCGATCCCGGGACTCCAGGATCATGACCCGAGCCGAAGGCAGTCGCCCAACCAACTGAGCCACCCAGGTGCCCTAGTTTATTCATTTAAAGAAAACAGGCAAGAAGGGTCACATGGAGGCATAGGTCACAGGCTCCTACTCAAACTGCAATTTCATCAAATAATTACCAAAAGCAATTTATTTTTGAAAGTGTGCTATTATGTACAAACATACATAGACTACAAAAGTCAATTTCACAGTCACAAGTCAATAGTTTTTGATAGTTCACAGATGCTGTTACCACCAGATTGTTAACTGAACTGGGTGAGACTGAGTTTTAAAAACTCTGGACGTCTTTAGTATATATCTATATTTCTGCTATGATACTACAGTGATAGGACTTCATGCATTCCATTTTCTCTCTTTCAAAAAAGAAAAAAAAAGGGAGAGAAGGGAATCAACCTGGATTACAGATGATTCTTAAAACTTTCTCTCCTAATATGCCTTTTATATAAAAAAGCTAAATAGAATAAGATGAACAGGGAGAGCAGTTAGAGAAGCAATAATTATGGTACTGAATAACCCACAAATGAATTGTCAATTCCTTATATAAGCATATTTGCCTGCCTGGTGCATTGCTTTATTTTTTTTTTTAATTTTTATTTATGGGGCGCCTGGGTGGCTCAGTCGGTTGTGCATCTACCTTCAGCTCAGGTCATGGTCTCAGGTATCAAGCCCCACATCGGACTCTGCTCGGTGGGGAGTCTGCTTCTCCCTCTCCCTCTGCCTGCCACTCTGTCATTTGACAGAGAGAGAGAGAGCACAAGCAGGGGAGCAGGAGGAGAAGCAGGCTCCCCGCTGAGCAGGAAGCCTGATGTGGGGCTCGATCCCACTGGGATCATGACCTGAGCCGAAGGCAGATGCCCAACCAATTGAGCCACCCAGGCGCCCCTGGTGCACTGCTTTAAAAAATATGTGTGGGGGGCACCTGGCCGGCTCAGTTGGTAGAGCATGCAACTCTTGATCTCAGAGCTGTGAGTTTGAACCCCATGTTTGGTGTAGAGATTACTTAAAAATAAATTTAAAAAGTTAAAAATTAAAAATGTGTATGTACCACTTACCGATTTATAAGCCACGATCTTTATAGACAAACTGGAGCCAATGGTCAGCATGCAGGACCAAGGGATGGAACGCTTCTCAATTTTCTTGAAGACACACAGTTGTCTCAGACTCTCACTTAATAAAAAAAAATATATATATATAACTCTTACTTAATAAAATATATATATATTATACACATAATGGAAAAAAACATATATAATGAAAGCAACAATTTTAAAACATTAACTTTGCTGGGTGATGCAGTTAATTTTCTAGAATGAGAAGTGAGTTGTCATTGATCATAATGAGAGGAACAGCAAGGGACAACAGGAAAATGACAACCACAAGTTGGGAGAGAGCCAGAATACAACTGAGTTGGCTTAGGAGAAAGAAGCTGAATTACATTACAGGTGAAAGAACATCTCTATCTTCCCCTACTCAATCTTTTCTTTCAACTCAGCCCATGGTTCTTAACATTTTTTTCAAGACCAAGGACATTTTGAAGATATGATAAAAGCACAATCCTAAGAGTTTGCCCACAATTTAAAGGGTTCACCAACTCACTGAAAACTATGGACCTGGGGATAAGAACCCCTGGCTCCAGGATATCAAAGGGTAAGTACCATCCCAAAATATCACTGTTCATAACTCTACAATTTATTATTTATTTCCAATCACCTTAAATAAAAAGCACATATATGCACACAATGGAGAGCGTTAAATAAAGACTCTCCACGGGATAAAGGAATTTAGTCCACACTTAGTCTTAAGGTAAAGCAGATAGCACACAATGGAGAGAGTTAAAAAATCTCCAGGGAATAAAGGAATTTGGTCCATACTTAGTCTTAAGCTAAAGCAGATAACTAGGTTTTTTACTGGACGGAGATGGGGAATCAGGAAGTAACAAACACAATGTAGAGTGCTACTTTATTTGAACATAAATGAAGATCAATTCTATTTTTATCTGGTCCCTAATCAAACACAGCAGAGAAGACTATAGGAAACAGAATTTGTTGTAGTCACTAAGAAAGGAACCAATGACCAAACATAGTCAAAGCATATATTCCAGGGACGCCTGGGTGGCTCTGTCAGTTAAGCATCTGCCTTTGGCTCAGGTGATGGCCCCAGGGTCCTGGGATCAAGCCCCGCATCGGACTCCTTGCTCTGCGGGGAGCCTGCTTCTCCCTCTGCCTACCGCTCTCCCTGCTTGTGCTCTCTCCCTCTCCCTGATGAATAAATAAAATCTTAAAAAAAAAAAATCCAGACCATGATCAATCCCCTTGGTACAGATGAAAAATAGATCTACAAAGAAGGTAAAAAGAATTATCCTCATTATGCAAAGTTATGGACAAAAAAGGTTTCAAAAGACTCCAATTTTCAGAAATAATCTATAACAAACACAAGTCTATGGAAATAAATAAACAAACAAACAAACAAATAAAACAGAGTTTATTCCTTGGCTTTGGACTTGTTGGGGAATGAAGGGGTCTGAACCAGATCTAACCTATCCATAGGACCTCACTGGTTTGAGTCCCATCTAAAACCACTGTGAGGTCTGAATTCAGTTCCAGGAGAAATTCTAAAGACTAGCATCTAATACGTAACATCTGAGAGCAAATGGATCATTTCCACAGTTGACCTGAATCTCCCCAAGCAGAAGTCTAAATGAGGACAAGTATGGCCCAGTGCTGTCCAGTACAACTTTCTGCAATGATAAAAATGTTCTATTTCTAACCGTTCCTGTCCAAAAGGCTGCTGAGCACATGAAATGTGGCTAGTGTGACCGAGGGACTAAATTTTTAATTTTACTTAATTTTAATGAATTTAAATTTAAATAGCCATATGTGGATAATGGCTGTTGTATCAAATCAAAGTATCTTCAAATTGTGAGGATAATACACAGTAATTTGCCTCCTCGCTATGACACAGGAAAATAAACTTTTTTTAACATTAATTTGTTTGGCCTACAATTTTCATTCATGATATCATGGTAAATTTGTTAGTTTCACACCTACATTCTCACATTAGAGCAAGCCACGTCCAAATTTGAAAGAAATAAGTTAGAAACATATTTGCATATATTACAGTTAAGAACACATATTATGACAAGAAACATCACTTTACAGGATTCTTTACTGATTCCTTTTCCAACCCCAAGGGAAACCACCATTCAATTTGTAAAATTCCCATTACCTACAATTTTTCAAGGGTGATATATTTAAAAATCAGGATGTACTATTTGTATTTCTTGTAATATATTATAAATAAAAATTTTTAAATTGTGGTTGAGAAAAAAATTTGGGCATATATCACTTAACTACTCAAAAATATCTGAATTGTTGAACTTCTATTTCAATGAAGAACTTTGCTCAAAACGCCTGTATTTTGTGTATTTATTGATGAATAAGAATTAACTCATGAACATTCAGTGGTATTATCCTGCAGAACATGAAATTCCACAAGCCACACTGCACAGTTCTCCTAAGTCCGGCCCTTCAAACACATACTGTCCTGGATGCTACAGACTCCTCTCGGGTTCTTTGCTCAGAATAAGTGCATGTCCAATTCCAACCAAGAATACTAACCCAAAGAGGAGACAGTCTCTCCCATAGTCTCTAACTGAATGGTTGCAAAGGCAGTCTGCTTTATTGTTAAATGGCACTTCAGGGATTTCACATTTCTTAAATTGTTTTCCCTTTACAAAACCCATATAAAAAAGTAAATTATAAATTCTTTACGTTTTGGATGTTTTGTTCTGTTCTGTCTGAACAAACTATTTTGTGACCAAAAATTTAAAAAAAAGTCTATTACAGTTAAGTATACTGTCTCCTAAAACCTCAATCAGAGGATAAGAGGATACCACGTATTTCGGATCTGACACCACTTTTCACAATTAGGAATGTATTTTGTAGGTGAATGAAAAGAAAGGACCCAGGAAATGTGCCCCAAACTTGGCATAAAGAAGAAATCTACTATCTCGTCTTTTACGACTTGTTAAATCTTTTGCGGTATCTATACATTTCTAAACCTCATACACACTGTCCTAGAAATAAACCAGAAGTCTTGTTCCAACCACACAAACTTAAAAAAGGGGATCGGGGGTTGGTGCACTGTTTCTTCAATAAAAATCAGAACATTCATTGAAGAATGGTGGCTAATTCAAGAGGGGCTAATTAGGGATCCCCCTGATCAAAAGAGAAATTTACATGGTCACAAGTGAAAGTTGCCATCGAAGTTTTTAGTTCTTACCTGAAGGAATAAATTTCATCTAGCCCATCTTCACCTTCTAAAGACATCATCACCTTTTTCACCATCCGAATACCTTCTTTTTGCTGCTCAGTAATTCCTTTTAGAGGAAAGGAGGGTTCATGGTGGTCTGAGCTTGAGTTACCATCTCCCCTGTCCCCGGTTCCATCCTCCTTGCCAACGGGGAAAGGCAAACTATCGGGAAAAAAATCAGCAGTATTTAAGAAGACAAGCCCTGAAGCCAAAAAATAAACTGGGCTCCAATCCTATGACTGTCGCTCACTGGCTATGAGAAAATGGGCATGTCGGTCACCAGAGCTTTCTATTCCTCATCTGTCAAATGGCGCTTATCGACCTTAGTCAATATTCTATCAGTTTCAAGTGACGAAAGCCTTTTTGGCCTGCTAAAGGGGGGAACTTATTGGTTTATATAACCAAATAACTGAAAGTGCAGGGTTGCACATGGCCTCAGGACCACTGGACCCAGTCGCAAACACCTCAAGGACTACCTGACCCTCCCACTGTCTCGGTGTTGTCTCCATGTGCCTTCATGCTGGCTTCCCTCTCTGCCTGGCTGCCTCCACATCGCCTGAGTGCACTCGAGCACACACTGCCCAGCTCTACTACCAAAGAGAATGGACTGAGTATTTAATACTATATTCTAGTCTCAAATTCAAACAAGCTGGGTATCAGTGGTAGCCTGGGGACTAGAAGATGTTGGCCCTCAGTCGAGTCATGAGGTTAAAGGGTAGGAAGGGGCGCCTGGGTGGCTCAGTTGGTTGGGCGACTGCCTTCGGCTCAGGTCATGATCCTGGAGTCCCGGGATCGAGTCCCGCATCGGGCTCCCTGCTCGGCGGGGAGTCTGCTTCTCCCTCTGACCCTCCCCCGTCTCATGTGCTCTCTCTCTCTCATTCTCTCTCTCAGACAAATGAATAAAATCTTTAAATAAATAAATAAATAAATAAAGCGTAGGAAGGATTTCTTCCTAGAAAAAGGTGGGCGATGTTCTAGGCAGCCAAAAAGAATAATAATAAAAAATAAAATACACTTTAATGATCCCTCAATGTTATTATGAAGATTAAATCACAGAATGTGTACAAAATACTTAAAACTCAAATACTGTTACCTTTATTACTGTAGATCTAGAATTCCCATACAGACATCACTTAATTGCTGGAAATAGGGCAAATCAATTTTGTTCTTGTGTTCCACTCCAGTTGTTTGAAATGAGACTAAAACTAGATTGGGATTACCAGTCACGGAGATATTCAATAATCAATATACAAATTGAAAAATCAACCAACCAAACACACTTTATGGTAATATTCTATATGACTCTTTACAAATGCTTTCATGCAAACAACCTCATTTAATCCTATCTATTAGGTGGACAGAGATTTCTACCTCCATTTCCTAAAAAGCAACTGAAGCTACAGAGATGAACTAATCTGGCCAAGCCGCACAGCTAGTGAGTGACACAGCAAAGACTGTCACCTGACTGAAGGACAAAGTCCTTTCCAAGGCAGCGTATCACCTCACTGCCCCTGAAACCCAAACAGTAGACTTTTCAGTTCACTCAACATCACCTATTGGTCACCCCTATGTGGATGGTTATTTTTAAGGTAATTTCTTTACCATTTAATTTGCTATCATTAAAATAGCGCTCCCTGGGGCACCTGGGTGGCTCAGTCAGTTAAGTGTTTGCCTTCAGCTCAGGTCATGATCCCAGGGTCCTGGGATTGAGCCCCACATCGGTCTCCCCACATCGGTCTCCCTGCTCAGCTGAGAGCCTGCTTCTCCCTCTCTCTCCGCCTACTTGTGCTCTCTGTCAAATAAATAAAATCTTAAAATAAATAAATAAATAAATAAATAAATAAATAAATAAAATAGCGCTCCCTATTTAAATGTTTTCTACGTGCACTCCACATGACAGATATGCATGTCCTGTGTGACCTATCGGATAAAGAGCTGCCAGGGATCGGGGTATGGCACACAGGATCTGCACCAGGCCATTGCTGTTTCCACTACAGCAACATGGAAAAAGGGGAGAGTGACACGAAAGTCAAGAGTCAGGAAGCTATCCTGGAAAAAGAAGTCACAATAACAGTCCTTTCTACCCCAAAAAAGTGGTCACAAAAAAATGTATATATCTCAACAGCCAAAAGAAGAAACTAAAAACAAGGTCCAAGGAATGAACTTGCTCAGAACACAGTGCTTCTTGGGCCTGTTCCAACTGGAACGATCAATCATACCTGGGTACAACTAACAATTAAAACAGAAACTCCACTCTGTATGCTGGAGATTTATAGCACAGGAACAGAGCGTATTGCCCAAGAAAAAACACAACCGGAACTAAACAGGGACCTACAATAAGGCTATGTTCCTTCTTCAACACACTTTATAGTATCACTCAGACAAAAAAGCCCTTTCCAATGACACTGACAGAAGTGCAGTATGCTTCAACCATGTAAAGGCATCCTGAAATTATGAACAGGGAAGAGGAGCCAGGCAGGGCTTTTGAAGTACTGAGAAAACCTCAACTCAATAAGAAGTGTCACTTAAAAAGCACTTAATTTCTCTGAAGTACTATCTTTACAAGTATCATTTTGATGGGTTATTCTGAACTACTTTTCTATAGTTCTACAGAAAGGAGATGCCCCTCAGCAGTCTTAAGAGGTACATACATGCAAGAGAGGTTCTTAATTCCCCATAGCAGCATTTCAAAGAAGCCAAAGGCTTACCACTCTGAGCTAGAGGCTTCCTGGCACAGCTCTCAGTCTGAAAAATGAGTGTCCCCAGAAGACAAATAAGTCAACATCCTATACCATCACTCTGCTTTCACCAAAAATAGAGGACAAGCTAAAACGGGTTTCGAATGCAGCAGGATTAGTGTGGTGAAAAAACTTTCTTGTTAGGGATAGAAGATAAAGAAAGTAAATGCCTGGGGTGGGAAGGGGGGCATTCAAGTTATTGGGGAACGAGAGAGATTGTCTTGCAACGAATTGTGAAATATTTTGTGAACGTTTTTTTTTTTGAGAGAGAGAGTGTGTGTGTGTGAGCGGGGGGTGGGGGATGGGGGTGGGGGATAGGAGGAGGGGAGGGGCAGAGAGGGATCTTAAGCAGGCTCCAGGCTCAGCACAGAGCGCAGTGCAGGGCTAGATCTCATGACCCTGAGATCATGATCGGAGCCGAAATCAAGAGTCGGATGCTTAACCCACTGAGCCACCCAGGCACCCCTTCTGCCAACATTTTTGCCTGTAATCTGCACACTCCATTTCTAAATACACACAAGCAAATTACATTTTACATAAATGTGCATATCCATTAGATTTGAAAAAGACTTATAAATAAGCATTCTATGTGTTTAAAATGATTCTCACATTGACATTTCTCTCTACCCTAAAAACATCTACTGCCTGCAAAACACAGTACCCTAGAGCTGTTTAACAAAAGAAACCATCAATCTGGTAATTGTTTGTATAATGTCCTCTATGTAGGCAGAGATAAACTGAATATCCTCAAAAGATTCCTCAATTCTTTGAGTCCAAGAAGAGCCAACAAACAATCTGCTATTGAGCTAAACTCCTGTTTCACTGTGACTTTCATCCCTTTATCACCAAAACTCAAGAGTTCCTGGAATAGCAGGTACTCCAGCGAACGTCTGCTGAAGTCAGTCATCAGACATATTTCGACTCTAAGCACAAACAGAAGACTCGTGGGAACCAAGCACTCTATAAAGGGGCCCCACTCCCTGTGTTATAAGAGTATAGGACTGGTCTTCAGACATTATTCTCATGGTCTTACAAGAACTGCAGGGAGATGCCAAATTTCTTCAAGTTATGGATTATAACATCCAGCTGATCTTTGCTGAATGGGCTGCTGAGGTCAGTGAACACTTCAATATGCTTCTTCTCAAACTTCTTTCCTCTAAAAGAGAGTTATCACAGTTAGAAATCATTCTCTGAATTATTGCCCACAAACTCAAAAATACTTGGTCACTGAGCAGAAAGAGGCTAAGAAATGAATCTAGTTAACAAATCTAGATAGTTAACAAAGCAGTTAACAAATGTGATTACATTCTAGAATCCCATGTATCATTGATGCTTAGTTAAGTTCCTACTAACATATAATCAAATAGCTACAATCTACAAAACATATAATCAAAATTTTTGAGCATTATGGAAATATTAAATCCCAATGATGTGGTCACTGTGATTAGAAAGGATCCCTTTCCAACCTCCACTTAGGCAGAATGTAAACAAGGAACTCTCCCAGTGATGACAACATCAGCCTTGCAAGGGTTCACTTTCCAAATACCCTGGTCTGATTCCACTCACAGGGCTAGTGGCAGGATTTTACACAAATACACAGAGAAATGATAATACAAATTTAGGCAAATTTTGTGCAAATGTTCTTCCTAACAGCCAAGGGGTGGGTGGGTGTGTATATATTCAAAGACCCACATTTTAAAGGTACAGCAATTAAATAAGTAATGAAGTAGGAAGCTGTGGCCAGAGCTATGCATTTAATTTTTTAGCTTTTAAAAAAAAATTTTAAGTTTTTATTTTAATTCCAGTTAGTTAACATATGGTGTTATATTAGTTTCATGTATTTAATTTCAGTAAGATTAGGAACAATACAACTTAACATTTTTTAAAGTTCCTGGTAATTAAGTCAAAAAGGAAGGAACTTGAAATAAGCCAAACATTTATTTCTCCCAGCAAAATTCCCATCAACTATAGCCCTTTCTCTTTTTAAACTCAAAAAAAAGAAAGGGCAAACTGGACCACTGAATTCTATCAAATGTTTCCTTAGCCACACAAACATGCGGCTCGATTACAATGAATCACACTACGCACAGAATACTATGCACAGAATACATCAACATGCAATTTTTGCTGAGAGGCTCATTTCCATCTTTCCTCAGTTGAGACACTTACACAGTTTCTTGTTGAATCACATCCATGCACACAATGAGTGCATCCAGGACTTGGCTAGTTAAGGGCAGAAGATACCACTAAACAGTCCCTTTATCCCAAGAACATGCAACTTTTTTCCAGTGAGGTCCACAGGGCTTGCAACTGTGGACTCTGGACTGACTCTGTGATGATTTAAAAGTACTTGCCAAATTACCTTCTTCCAAAGTTTATTTCACTAACATATACTCACATATGCTATATACCAAAGTATATATCAAAGGATAAATAAAATAAACTCAAAGGTAATCTAACATATTCCCATTCATTGAGACAAAAATTATGATGCCATTTTACAATATCTGGAATCCATTTTTGGTGATTATAGTCTATTCTTAAAGATGAAGTGAGTTAAAATTTAGCATTTGCAACTAGGCACAGCAGCACCTCCCAGTGATCAGGGATACCATTACTGCTTAGAAAAGTAAGAGTAACCCCTTAAAATCATAGCATCTGTGGAAGAAATGAGAAATCTCAGTTTAGATGTCAGTCTGATTTTTGGCACAAAAATACCCTCCGTCCAGGAAAGCACTGAGAATACTAGTGCTATATTCTACTTATATCTTCTCTACATCCAAACATTTCTAACCATCACGACCACCAATCCCTCTGCACATATCAATACACAAATATACCCACTAGTATCTTCCCCTTATGGTGCCTCCCAACCCCTCAGTATCACTGGTAGAGAGAAAGGGCTAGTAACTGGAGGGCCCAATCCAAACTAATTAATTTCACATTAAATCCTAACATATACCACCTCAATGTCCCCAGAGCCAAAAACATCCATATACTCAGAGCTGGGACTCTAGGGAGCCTCACCAAACTAGATTATGATTCCCCAGATTAAAGGAAATTTCTTAAAGAGTCTTCTCTGGCTGAAAAAGGATACAGTCAGCTTGTTGAGAACCTGGTTGGATTTTTCTTTCAATGTCCTCCAGCAAGTCAAAATCTGGTAGCATCAGGTGTCTGTGCACTGTGATGTTCTGATACTGATCCTTACCAGCAAGGGCATTCTCAGTGCCATCTGTACCAAAAAGGACTAATGCAACTTCATCCCTGCTCTCAGCAAACACCTAGAGAAGAACGTTAAAAGGTTAAGAATCACTGAGTATCACCCGGAAGCCACTAGATACCTAACCTTCAGGGAGTAAGACAACCATAACTCCCTATGGCATCTCCCTGGGGCCACCGTCAACAACAGAACACTGGGCTAGATGGCCCACGGGACAATGACAGACAATTCCTAGGCTCTAAGACTTTCATTGAGTATAGGTCCTATCATTCATTTCAACAGAATTTAGGGGTAGGGGAGTGGAGAGTGGTAACTGCTCTTGATGACTTCCAGCCAAATCAGACTCTAATTCTCAATGAAAACTAATTATGGATAATTTGAAATTATTTTAGTCTATCTTTCTGGAATGACTATTCAAGGTTTCAATTTTCCAGAGGATTAGAAAAATAATTGCTGGTTCATGTCCTGTATCCCAGCAATTTCACTTATATGTACATACACCATAGAGAAATTCTTGCACATGTATTCAAAAAGACAAGGACAAGAACATTCACTTCAAGAGGGTTCACTTGGACACTGTTCGTAACAGGAGAGAAGCGGAAACTAACTACCCATCCACAGAATGCAAAAACACACGACAGAATATTTATAGAACAAAATATTACACCTCAATAAAAAATGAATAAATTTGTGCATGGTTATCAGTATGAATAAATCTTAAAAACATAAGGTTGAGAAAAAATAAGTTCCAGAATTATAGGTACCATATAAAAACATTACACCATTTTTTAAAGTTTCATACGATACTAAATATTATTTATGAATATGCTTACATCCAGAAGTATAAAATATGCATGGTAATGACTGAAAATTCTGAGGAAAAGAGGAAAGGAGAGAATTGGGAAGAGATACATAGGGGGCTTCAAGTTTATCTGTAATTGTGTGTGTGTGTGTGTGTCTTAGATTTTATTTATTTGAGAGAAAGTGAATGAGAGAGAGAGTGTGTGCATTCATGAGCAGGGGGAGGGGCAGAGGGAGAAGCAGACTCCCCGCTGAGCAGGGAGCCCAACATGGGGCTTGAACCCAGAACCCCAGGATCATGATCTAAGCCAAAGGCAGATGCTGAACTGACTGAGCCACCCAGGTGCCCTGAAACATTTCACAAGAAAATATAAAAACAAAAAACAGAATCTGACACAAAAGGTGGTTCTTTTCCGACCAACTTAACCTAAGCCTTTTCCATCAGTGGGAAGAACACTGCAAGGGGAGAGGGGATGGATTCTGTCATTCTTTATTGTTGTTTGGTCTGTTAAATTCCCAGTGTGCTAATAATTCCAGATACAATTCCCAGCTGCACATGGGGAGAAAAAACTCTAGCTGTTGAGGTTCAAACATGTCCAGCACACTACGGGGCAGCCCAGCTAGAATTCTATCTGTGTCCTGGACAAGACTTCATCTTAAGGCAAGGTAATCTTGCTCAACAATAAAACCTCAGCCAGGAGAGGGAAGGAAATTTTGAATGCAGCATGAGACTGGCACCAGGTGCTGTCTCCTAGCCTTCCAGATTCAGACTCCCAAGGAAGAGGCAAAGCCAAAAAGAAAAACTGGAAGCACAGCTTCTCTAAAAAAAAAAAAATCTAGGGGCATCTGGTTGGCTCAGTCAGTAGAACATGCAACTCTCCATCCCGAGGTCGTGAGTTCAAACCCCACATTGGGCAAGGAGCCTACTTTTAAAAACATAAATAAATAATAAAATAAAAAACAAAAATCTGTATATTTAGGCATAGCAGCATTACTTAAATACAAATAACACAAACTACTATAACCAGGAATGGGGTTAGAGGCATTCTCTTGACACATCAAGGACTCCAGGTCATTAGAATTTGTTAACATCTAGGATGACGGGGGTATGTCACAGTGCCTAGTGAAGAGGACAGCACCCAGAAGAAACAATGGAGGTGTCCAGGAGGGGCAGCAGCTGCCAATGAATGAGGCAGAAGTTCATGGGCTTAGGAAAAGTAGCAGTCATACCAAGTAGAAGGGACAGAAATCAACAGGGGAGTCTTATTCACCCCCACCTCCCATTCCTGCCCTATGAATGTGAGCTGGTCTTAGTGACCTGCTTGGCTCCTAAGAGCAGAAATGACTTTCTGGGATTTCTAAAGCTGGGTCATAAAAAGCCACATGCAGGTCTCTTAGAATACCCACTCTTAGAACCTTCCTTCTTAGAACTAGCCGCCCTCCTCTAAGAATCCCAAGCTACATGGAAAGACCACATGTAAAGGTTCTGATGGACAGTCCCAACTGAGCTCACAGCTGGAGTTAAGCCGGAGGCTTAACTTCTAGCCATGGGGGTGAGCCATCTTAGACATCCGACTCAGTTTAGCCTTCAGGTGATTCAGCCCAGCCAACATCTGTGTGTGCCCCTGCACAAGCGACCACAAGAAGCCCAACTGAGCTACACAGTCATCCCCTAAAACCAGGAGAGATGATTAAAAAAAAAAAGTACTTTAAGACATTAAGTTTTGGGATAATATGTTATCAGCAAAAGGTAACTGGAATAGGCACAAAGTAGTTGAAGGACTTGTTTAAGATTACCAGATTAGTAAAAGTCATGACAGAGCAAAGATTCAAACCCAGGCCACCTGGCTCTAGAGATTGTATTTGTAAACATTTTTACATTGCCTTGTTTCTGATAAAAATTATAATTTCTACTGGAGGGGCCAAAACAAAGGAAGAAAAAAAGGTCAGGCTCTAGTGGTAGTTGGACTTGCACATAAGTATATGTTAAAAAACTCCTCAGATTCCCAAAAATACTGAGGCTGGAGGCACCTGGGTGGCTCAGTTCATTAAGCATCTGACTCTTGATTTTGATTCAGGTCATGATCTCGGGGTCCTGGGATCGAGCCCCCATGCTGGGCTCCATGCTCAGTATGCAGTTGGCTTGGGATTCTCTTTCCCTCTCCCACTGCCCCTGCCTCTGCTCATGTACTCTATCTCTCTCTAACAAAAATTAAAAAAAAAAAAATAAAGTACCAAAAATACTGAGGCTGGACATCATAAGCAGGCTGGTATCTTGCATTACTAAGTGGAGACAACAAGCAGTTAAAACAAGAGTTATAAGCTCAAGACCAGTGTGAAACTTACCTGTCGCTGCACAAACATGGTCATCACCTTCTTTGCTAGTTCAAATGGGGATTCTTCACCAGGAAGCGAGTTACTCATGGCAGAGCCCACATCCATACACAGTACAACAGCTGCCTAGAAATAAAGTCCCAGAGTGAGAAAATGTTGATAATGGTCATAAAAAAAGAAAACAGGTATGGCCTATGTTTATTTCACCCACAGAACCTATACTCTAGAAGACTTAGGGAATGCAGGTCATTCCCTAAGAGGGAGAGGGAGTGTTCTACTTAGAGAATGTATATAAGACATATAAATGTTTACTACAGAGGAACTTTAAATAGTCCTAATATTTTCTGAAAGATAGAAAGCCAGGATAGGAGCATGCTCCAGGAAGCTGCTGTTCTTCGGCCTGAGCCCAAGAATAAACCCAAGGGGAGCAAACCTGAAAACAATCTATAGGCCAGAACTAAGTCCAGCGCAGCTGAGCCCAAAATACATTAAACAAACTGCAGTTGATTTTGCAGAACCACAAGCATGAGAACAGATGCTTTTTTTGTAAGGCTCTGATTTGGGGGTAGCTTGTTATGAAGCGTTTTTGTGGCAACAGGTGACTGCTACAATCTATACATACTAAAACGATATACCCCAACAATTTGAATCAGTTCATGAACTGGGGATCTAAAATGAAGACTAAGACACCAAATCTATCCTAGTAGGGGACAAAGACACATAAACAAATAATAACAGCACAATATTCCATGCCAGATGTGTGCCATGGGCACTGAGAGAGTACATGGGAGGGGCATCTACCCAAAACTGGTGGAGGGGATAAATGAGGGGTAAGGAGGCAGAAAAGGCTTCTGGATGTGATCTTTGAGTGAGTCTTAAAGAACAGGAGTCAAACATGTGAATAAGGGGAGTTATAGGTAGAGGAAACCACACAGACACCTAGTCATTAGGTAGCAATCCCATACGGACGGACTAAGGAAATAGGGGAAACAAACTAAAATAAAACAGTTACATGCAAAGTTCTATGTTTGGCATCCAGAACTCGAAAGAATATGAGTCGGTGGAGACCTGAACAAACAGCAACTCACGATTTCAGTATGGATTATAATGTGTCACCAGTATGACATGGCTACAGCACTACATTCCCCACACCTATCTCATGTTTTTAGGTCGTATCAACAGTGTGTTGAATTCAAGGACGGAAACAAAGATCTAATGGTGAAAAAAAGACTAGGTTAGCAATCTGGAGATCTGAGACTTAGTCCCACCTTTATTACCAATTAGCTCTGAGTCCTTGGGAATGTCACTTAACCTCGCTGTTAATTCTAGGCAGGAAACAGTTGTCGGACTAGATGAGATCCAAGGTCTTTTCCAGGTCAATGGTCTTTGGCAGTGAGTCTCACCTGTGCTTTGTACTAATCAGACCACATGTGACAAACTGTGCGCAGTTCTGTGCACATCTTATGAGAAAGACTAATTACAAGAGAACATGAAATATGCAGGTTAGAGAAAGATCTACAGAACATGGGTTGTGAGGAACAGTTGGAAAAAAACTAGATATTTGAGGCAGATGAGAAGATTTAGGGGAACATGATAGTTCCAACTATTTGGCAGCTGTGTTATAAAAGGACTGGTCAGAGAGAGAGATGGAATGGATCAACAGATGGAAGTTACAGGAAGATTGGTTTGAAGAAAAATAACATTAAGAAGTGACCAATAGGGCGCCTGGGTGGCTCAGTTGGTTAAGCGACTGCCTTCGGCTCGGGTCATGATCCTGGAGTCCCGGGATCGAGTCCCGAATGGGGCTCCCTGCTCGGCAGGGAGTCTGCTTCTCCCTCTGACCCTCCCCCCTCTCATGCTCTCTATCTCTCATTCTCTCTCTCAAATAAATAAATAAAATCTTTAAAAAAAAAAAAGAAGTGACCAATAAAAGAACTACTGTTTTCTGAAGCAGTGATCTCCTGACCCTAGAAGTGTTTGAAAAATCTGGGGTGCCTGGGTGGCTCAGTCAGTTAAGCATTCAACTCTTGGTCTTCGGTCAGGTCTTGATCTCAGCCTCATGAGTTCAAGCCCTACATTGGGCTCCATGCTGGGCATGGAGCCTACTTTAAAAAAAAAAGTGTTTGAAAAATCTGGATGCATTCCTATGAGAGAAGTTACAGATGATTTCTAAATTTGGTTATATCTCAGGCAACAGATGGAAAAGAAAGACTTTAAGTTTTTCCCTAGTTTACAAAGCACAGAACATAATGCACTAGTTTTTTTTTTAAGATTTTATTTATTTATTTGACAGAGAGAGACACAGCGAGAGAAGGAACACAAGCAGGGGGAGTGGGAGAGGGAGAAGCAGGTTCCCCGCCGAGCAGGGATCCCGATGCGGGGCTCGATCCCAGGACCCTGGGATCATGACCTGAGCCGAAGGCAGACACTTAACAACGGAGCCACCCAGACGCCCTGAACATAATGCACTAGTATTAAGAAATTAATGGAGTAAAGACAGGACGTTTGAAAAAAGGGTGATAATAAACTACAAAATTCTTTGAAAACAATAAAATTTACACCCCATAGCTTCAATGCCCTGAGCATAAGAATCTTGAAATTAAGAGTTCCAAGATATGTCACTCCATTTATCTAATATACCAGAAAACGGTTTTAAAACTCTGTTAAACCAGAAAACTCTAAGTTAGATGATAAAGGCTTTTTGGTCCAGAAAACTTTTTTTTTTTTTTTTGTCCAGAAAACTCTAACTTAGAAGAATAAAAGTCCTTTACTAGGAATCAAGTATCCAGAAAATGGCATCAAAGGGTTTTACAATATAGGACTTCTTTCTGGAAGCAGAAGAATGGTCTGTGTGATACTTCAAGTTCCTATCCGGCAATAGTAAGAAAACCAGGAAAGGGAAACTGAGCAGCATAGCAACTCTTCATTTACACAAGGGGGTGCCTGGGTGGCTCAGTCGTTAAGTGTCTGCCTTCAGCTCGGGGGGTCGTGATCCCGGGGTCCTGGGATCAAGCCCTGCCTCGGGCTCCCTTCTCGGTGGGAGGCCTGCTTCTCCCTCTCGCACTCTCCCTGCTTGTGTTCCCTCTCTTGCTGTGTCTCTCTCTGTCAAATAAATAAATAAAATCTTAAAAAAAAAATACACAAGGAAACAATACAGGTTGTTAGAATTTTGCTGCAAGTCCACCTGCCATAAACAGCTGCTCCATTAGAGCTGCAATGTTTTCAGCAGCTGACAGAGGAACAGAAAGGTAAGTGGCATCAAATGTTCATAATCGCTTTAATCAACATTCCCCAATGGGGAGTTGTGGGGACTACGGATCAGTTGCTCAAACTCCTATCTCGCTTATCTGTATACCAGATGCCTACTAAAGGGCCTAGCCTTTGGATGTTTGGATGAACAAATAATTCTCTGGAACACACCTCTCTCTAGTGATCATCCAGAGACAACCACCACTCTCTGCCTACACTGAAAAAACCATTTTAAAAATTCATCATATTGTCTATTATTAATCTGGGACACTGAGGGTCATAGGTTCCTAGCAACACAGATGACTCTGAAACCAGGCAGCCTGGGTTCAAATCTGAATTCCACCTCTCAGGGACTGGATAACCTTGGGATAATCATTTCACTTTCTTTATGCCTCAGTTTTCCCAACTGTAAACTGGGGATAATAATTCTCACCTCATGGGCTTGTTGTGAAGATTACATGAGATAGGAATAAAGCGCTTAGATCAGTGCCTCACAGAGTAAGATTTCGATAAATGTGAAATATTAGATTATGATGGGGTAATATGACGCTTTACATTTTAAGATACATGTTTTACTGACGGTCCCTCTCTGAAGTTTTACAAATCTGTGGGTAGGTGTTTATCAAAGCGAAATTTCATTCTCCTATAGACTGTAAAAATCCAGGCTCAAAAGCAATGGAGGAGGTGAAGGAAGTAAGGGAAGAGAAGGGTGGACTAGGGTAATAAGAAAGGAGGCAGGCGGAAAGGAGAAAGTGGTGGGATGAGGAGGTGGAGAGGGTGGGAGTGCTGAGGAGGCGGAGTGAATGGGGAGTGGGCGAGGCTCAAATTCAGGTATTCGGACTCCAGATCCCCAGCGGGTCTCTCCGTATCCCTCCGGCCAGCCCTCGGGACCCAGCCGTGGCCCGCCGTGATCCCATGATTCCCGATCCGGAACCACCCTCTCCGGATTCCCTGCACCCGCAAGGCCCAAATCCACGCTCTCTACCTTATTCCCGGACCGCGCCATGTTGCCGGTGCGCGGGTGCCACGGCAGCCTCTTCCGGGCGGGAACCCCGAGCGCCGCTAGGAAGGTCCGGCGGAGTCTGAGCCAGAGTGTCGTAAAAAGAGCCGCTTCCCACAGAGCCTGGAAGAGGCGGGGAGACTGTGCGCTGACGCTCTGAGCATGCGCAGCCCCTGCGTTCCGCTCTACGAAGGGGTTTGTAGAGTTGCTCGGGTCTCTAGACCTGGATTTGGAGGAATGACTTCACGGAAAGGTTCATTTCCGTTTCCTGGTGTTGAGAGTCACCCCTGCAGCGTTTTGTGTCAGAGTTGTGGACTTCGATTTCCTTGAGTATGAATATGAATCCAGAAAGTCACATAACTTCTCTAAAATCAAAAGGGGGAGATAATGAAAGGCTTCACAGATGCGATGGCATTGGAACCAACTGCTGAAAGAACAGATAGTGGGATTGATTCCTTACTTTGCTGATAGTGGGATTGATTCCTTACTTTGCAGAGGAATGAGACATGCACAGGCCAGGAGGCATAAAACAACACCTGCTAAAGATCTCCCAATAGTTTGAAGTGTCGCTAGTTCGGAAGGAAGGAGGTGAGATTTAATTTGGAAGGCCAATCTAGGGAGATGTTCTAGAGGTGGGGGCTATCAGTCAAAATGCCTGACATGCTCACTGTTGTAGAAAGTGGTTGGGGTTTTCGAATGTAGGTAGGTGAGATCCAGAGCCCACGTCCAAGAAAGAATTCTTGAGAGGTCTTTGGTGCAAAAACGTGGATTTATTAAAGCATAGGGACAGGACCTGTGGGGGCGCCTGGGTGGCTCAGTCGTTAAGCTTCTGCCTTCGGCTCAGGTCATGATACCAGGGTCCTGGGATCCAGCCCCGCATCGGGCTCCCTGCTCCGCGGGAAGCTTGCTTCTCCCTCTCCCATTCCCTTTGCTTGTGTTCCTGCTCTCGCTGTCTCTCTCTCTCTGTGTCAAATAAATAAATAAAATCTTAAAAAAAAAAAAAAAAGCATAGGGGCAGGACCTGTGGGCAGAAAGCTGCACTGGGGTTGTGACAGGTGACTGATTATATATACTTTCAATCTGGGAGGGGATTAGGGGGTAGCGTAAGTCTCTAAGGAATTTTGGAAGCAAGGTTTCCAGGACCTTGAGAGGGCTAGCTATTGTTAGGAAAAGGTCATTTATTACTGTTTGGTAAACCCTCAGTCCTGAGACCCTTCAGATGTATTTCGGTGCTTGGGGGATGATAGCAAACATGTATCTTGGGGGGGTAGAGATAAAGGAAGTTTCCAGAGGAATTTTTATATGTTAAAGTAGACTCACAGGATCATGGGGGGTTGGGCTAAGATTGCCTTTTGCCGCTAGCAAAGTATTAACATCAAGGGGCACCTGGGTGGTTTACTCGGTTAAGGGTCTGCCTTCTACTCAGGTCAGGATCCCAGGGTCCAGGGATCGAACCCCTCAGCGGACTCCCTGCTCAGTGGGGAGTCTGCTTCTCCCTCTGCCCCTCCCTCCGCTCATGCTCATGTGCTGTCTCTCTCTCTCTCTCTCTCTCTGAAATAAATAAAATCTTAAAAAAAAAAGTATTAACATTGAGGCAGCTGAGTTCCTAGAGGAATATCATTCTGCCTGTTTCAAGGACTTGTTAATGGACTGTAAAGTAGTAGGAAATTTAATTTTTCTTTTGCCTTTATTTCCCACATCACCCACCAGCCCTTTTCAAAAGAAAATGCCCAGCTTTCTTTGAAGGAGGCAGGCCCAAGCCTAACCTTGCCCATAAACAGCTGTTTTCTATACCAAATAGCTGACAAGCTATGAGGTGATTGGACAAAGGGTCCTGCAATCTGCAAAATAGCTGCAAACCCCTGTCCAAACCGGGAAATCAAATCCAACCAGATACTCTCCCTCTTGAAAACGGACCTGGAAAAAGCAGAAACTAAAGCTGGAAAGATAAGGATGGAGGGGTCTCGAGGGAGCCAATGTTATAAATGCCCTGAAGCCATAGCGTCAGGCATTTTCAGTGTGCTCATAGAGCCTAGGAGGTTCTTCGTAATGAGAACATGCAAAAGAAATGTAGATAAAATTAAATTTCCTTACAGTTTGCAGCCCATTGACAAATACTAGAGACAGGCAGTGACATTCCTCAGGGAACTCACAATTGCCTTTATGTTAATGCTTTGCTAGGTAAAAAGCAACCTTAGCTTGATGATAGCCAGACCTCCAAGATCCTGCAAGTCTTCTTTAACGTATGAAAAATCCCTTTTAGAAACTTCCTTCGTCTTTACCCTTCCCCCCAACTTAAAAGTATATAGTCAGCTCCTCACAATCCCAGGGCAGCTCTTTCTGCCCACAGGTACTTTCCCCAGGGTTTAATAAAAACAGCATCTTGGGGCGCCTGGGTGGTTCAGTTGGTTAAACATCTGCATTCAGCTCAGGTGTGATCCCAGGGTCCTGGGATCAAGCCCTGTGTTGGGCTCCCTGCTCAGCGGGGAGTCTGCTTCTCCCTCTCCCTCTGTCTGCTGCTCCCCCTGCTTGTGCTCTCTCTGTCAAATAAGTAAGTAAAATATTTAAAAGAAAAAGAAATTTAAAAAAATCTTTTGGGGGGCAGGGGAGGAAGCGAAGGAGGGGCAGAGAGAGAGGAAGAGAATCTTAGGCAGGCTCCATGCCTAGCACAGAGCCCAACCTGGGGCTTGATCTCACCACCCTGAGATCATGACCTGAACTGAAATCAAGAATCAGTCAACCAACTGAGCCACCCAGGCACCCTAAAAACACCTTTTTGTGCCGAAAATACCTGAAGAATTCTTTCTTGACCGTTCACTCCTGGCCCACATCACATCACTTCAAGCTTTCAAGCCCAAGGAGTTCTTTTGAAACTCAAATATTAATTTTTTTAAATTCTCTCCATAAAATGTAAGAGAGAATTAGTAGTAATTCACTATGGTGAAAGAAATTTGTATGTTTCATGTTGATGATAAAAAACCTCTCCAAAAGCCTGATATACAAGGGAAGCCATTTCAGAGGTCCGGAGCCGATGGCCAACAAAGAATTCTTGAGATGTCTTTGGTGCAAAAAAAGGTGATTTTATTAAAACATCAGACAGGACCCTTGGGCAGAAAGAGCTGCTGCACCAGGGTTGAAGGGGTGACTAATTATATACTTGGGAGTTGGGGGACATAGGAAAAGGGAGGTTTTCAAAAGAACTTTGAGATGCTAAAGAAGACCTACAAGATATTGGAGGCCTTGCCACTGTCAAATTAAGCTTGTTTTTCCCTCTAGTAAAGCATCAGTAGTAAGACAGTTGGGAGCTTCCTGGAGGAATGTTATACTCTGCCTATCATAAGTCCTTGCCCATGGGCTGCAGGTTATAAGGAAATTTAATTTTATTTACATTTCCTTCTACCTTTGTTTCCCACATCACTATGGATGGGTGGGTGATGTTAGAGCTACAGGAAATTGAGTCTATGGGTCTCTGGAAGTTAGGCTATGGATAAGAATACTTTTTTCTTGTAAATTACTAAGACATTTGTGAACTAAGGGAGACTTATGTCCTGCTGGACTGTGATCTCTATCAGTTAGCCATTTGTTTTTCCTTCCCTTAGCTTTAGGGCAGCCAGGAGTGCCCGAGTAATGCCACACACAACCCACCTGGAAGTGGGGGGGGAGGGGAGGTTGTGGGGTGTCACCTTGTGCTTTGTCCTCAGCCTGCCTTCTGTTCCCTCGTCAATTGTAAATAACCTTTGTTCAGACCCAAAGCCTGATTTATGGGCCACCACACATGCATTGTACATCTGCTTTGTGAATGACAAAAATTATCTTGTCCTTGAGTTATTGATCAACACTCCTATCCCTTTACAGTAAAACTAGTGATACCTGCCCGTATGCTAATCTATAATCTCAGTGAAAAAAGTACATAACCCTGTAAAAACTGTTCATTTTCCAGGGCACTTTCTTCCCTGTGAAGAGCGTGTTTCCCTGGCACCTGTTCTAACTTGGGCTCAAATAAAACTCTTTCTTACTTTTAGAGATTCTGAAAGGTTTGTTCATTTTGTGTCAACCATATCAGTGTTTTTATCTTGTATGTAGTTTCTATTTCTTTTTTTTTTTTTTTCTTCCTCTCTCTCCTTTATCTCTCTTTTCTCTCCCTCCCACCCACACCTCCTCCGGTACAGGTTTGTTTCCTGGGAGAAATAAAAGAGATTCTAGTACCTCTGCTTGTTTGCATCTCAGGGGGGAAGGAGGGAGGGCCAATTATGTTAGCCACTAGGCTTTTGCAACACTGCAAAATATAAGTCCTGGGTGGCCATCAAGGGCACAATGAAACTTTCAGGTCATCTAAACTTTAAAATTTAGAATTTTGTTTTATTGAAAATCCTGGAGAATAAAGGTTTTATTCCCTCTTGGACTTTGAAGTGATATGAAGGTGTTGCTCAATGTCAATAGCCAAGATGGCTCAGGAATAGCAGTATCATCATAGTGGATCAGATATGGTTTACCCAGCTCAGTGTATTATGGCTGCAAAGCCATCAGAAAGCGCAGTCCTCCTTGATGCTCACCATAAAGATTAGGTAACTATGAGCTAACAGAATGTTCATAGATGGTATTAATTCTCTAGGTATTGCTGACAGCAAAGATGAGATTGCTTTAGATCTCTTTGGTTAAGTCTTCCTGCCTCTAGTCTAGGCTTTTACATAACTTACTAGAGCCCTTGTGAAATGATTTCAGTTTCTTCCACTAGGTTGTGAGCCTAACTAGGCTGAAGGCCATGTCCACTTCATCTCAGTATCCCTTGGGCCCCACCCTCACCCCATCCTCCTCCATTCCACCACAGCCACCATACCCTAGTCCTAATCATGATTATTTTTGGCCTTTGCCATTGGTTTCCCTAATCCCAGAAAAATGTGACAAATGCAGTTGCAACTTCCTCATGTAGGCTTAGCTAAATATGTGATCTGTGGAAAACAGTCCACCTAAATGGAATCCCCATAAATTAGTGGTACGTGGAAAGAGTCAAGACATAAGGATCCATATTAAGCTCATTATACATATATAGGACAGCCATCATGCTCATCCTTTTTCTGGAAATGGTAGCATTCAAAGCAATTTTGGAGAAATTCAAAGACCATGTGAACAAAATTAATTTGATTTTATTTTTATTGTCTTTATCTTCATTTCAATTGTTTACATTTCTGCAAAAGCACCAGAGAGCACCAAGTTTACTTTCAAAAATGCTGGGCAGAGTTTTGTTTTGTGTGAAACTAATACTAGTTTTTGTTGTTGTTGTTTTTAAAGGGGGTTCTTCTGAAAGTGGCGTTCACCATACTTTAAGCAAATGTCCTTGGCCTTCTGTGGGAGAGCACTACTGACCCATCTGGTTTGATTCACAGCAGTTCTTAACAGATTCTTCCTGAGACATGAACAAGAAATGGGCACCAGCTGTTCTTGCAAGGACCCAAACCTCCAAAATCTGCTTGATCTCTTGGGATTCAATTTCTTGACATGAGAAAGACACCCTCAGGAAGAAATTTATAAAGAAAAAAAAAAGGTCAGGGCGCCTGGGTGGCTCAGTTGGTTAAGCGACTGCCTTCGGCTTGGGTCATGATCCTGGAGTCCCGGGATCGGGTCCCGCTTCGGGCTCCCTGCTCGGCAGGGAGTCTGCTTCTCCCTCTGACCCTCTCCCCTCTCATGCTCTCTCTCTATCTCATTCTCTCTCTCAAATAAATAAATAAAATCTTTAAAAAAAAAAAAAGAAAAAAAAGGTCAGATTCTATTAACCTGGATTCATCTGGTATACGCCCCCTAGTGGCCAGGAAGACACAATTTCACAGCACAGACAAGATACTGTTCCTTAAACTCCAGTAAGGTCCTAGTGGGTGAGGCTGTGAGGTCTTGCCAAACAACAGAAAGCTAACCCTGTGTTCTATGTGCTTAGGGCTACTGATCCCTGGTGGGGGTTGTTTGCAATCCCTCCCTACACAGTCTTTAATACGTAGATTAGATTAAATATCACTACCCAATCCTGCCTTCACTACCAGGAAAAAAGTTACGCTACTAATTGTATTCAGCTCTTCACTCTTCCGTTTCTAAAAACCCTGAAACCACATGACATTACAGACTAATTGCAAAGTACATGAACTGCTAATATCTATTTATAGCATATACATAGTATATGTAACTAGTATCTATGTATAAATTCTCTGTGTAACATTTGGTCCTAAATAAATAAATAAATAAAATTGTATTAGCAGTTTGGGATCTGAATATATTTAAATAATTACCATGAATGAAGCTGAGATTCTTTTATGCCTACCAAAATAGCCATGTTTCTCTTTTTGCTTAAATTAGCAGAACCCAAATATTTAACCTAGACTATTGCTACCTAACCAAAAGACTACATTTCCCAGCCTCTTTTCCTTGTGAGGTCATGTGACAAAGGCCTAGCCAATGAAATACAGGAAGTGTTGAGTGAGACTTCTGGGAAGTCTCCTTAAACAGGGAAGAGGTGCACTTCCTCTATTCTGCAAGAACCGTGGATGTGATGGCTGGAGATGTAGTCAGCACTGAGGATAAGGACAAAGAAGGCTATATCCTACTAATGGTAGGGGAATAAAGCCTGGGGTTTGGATGACTCCATCAGGTCCCCTGATGGTCTGCCTCTGGACTTCTTCTGTACAAGAAAGAAAGAAACTTCTATCTTGTTTAAGTCACTGATATTTAGGACTTGAATTATATGCCACTAAACCAAAATCTAAGTGATACACACAAATCTTTACATTCTGCTGCACTGTGGTAGCCCTGTCTCTTAAGTGTTTCTCTCCATCCTACTTACTATCTTTTTGGTGAACTTGGTCTCCCTTGAGCCTCCTTTTTCTCCAGGTCACATTTAGTCACATCCTCCCCTGGGTTCCAGGCACCAGTAACATCTTCAAGCTCCAGAACTTACACACAACTGAGCTCCCTGTCCCAGATAAATGGTCATTTTAGGACAGGTAATGAGAAGAATTCATCAGTGGATAGACTGCTTTGGCACAAATTGCTTTTCCGTTCCCTGCCCTCCTGGAACTGCCAAGATGGTAGAACAGAACAGTGTGGGCTAGAGTTTTCCAGAACTGAGAGGGGTAGGGGTTTAATTTAAAGAAACAATCTTCTGGAATTGGAAGACGATATATAGGCTCCTGGGACCAGAGAAGGACATAAGTTGTTGGACATTTAGACAGTGGAAGTTTCTGCTTCCTGGGTGGGGTCCTTGTTGGAGAGATTGCCTGAGATATTGTCAGATTCAAGCAACTCTACAATGCTATAGGGAGAACAGTCCTCCAGACCTAGCTTGCTGCAGAGCCAGCCACAGAAGCCTTTCTCCATGTCCCGGGCAGCTTGCCACCATGCTCCCCAGGACCATGAGAGCTGGACCACGGCAGCATAGAGACCCAGGGAAGAGGCCATGGCCATGATGAGCACTGGATAGAAGAGAATGAGGCAGGGGCAACATGAGATCTTGTGCCAGAAGGTCCTCTCCTCATTGTACACAAGGAAGATGTTGTACCAGGTGATAGTGCCATAGTAGAAAGAGACAACAAAAGAGAGGATAAAGACCACAGGCAGACAGACCAGCGTCCAGAGGACCACATGGGGCCCACGGTCTGCTCCCATTTGGCAGGCCTTTCTGTCTTCAGGGGTTATCTCCCTTGATGACCCTTTAGGCTTGGTCAACTCTTGCAGCTCCTTCTCCGTCAGTGTGACATGGATGTCCACCATCTGGCCCTTTTTCTTCCCTCGTGTGATGGTCCCAGTTAATGTGACATAGCGGCTGTCCAAAGGCATGTTCCATATCCCTGCAGGGCATCAAGGAGGTGACGTTAAGGTCAGAAGAGTGGACATTTCATCACAGTGTCACCACCTGAGCTAGAGGCTGAATACCACAGTTCCTGTTTTTATAGCACCCAGCACAGTCCCGGAGTCCATGACTCGGGGATGGAGTGGATGGATCTCCCTCAGGAAGCTGATTCCTGACATTACTACTCCCCCAGGGAACTCTTACTCCACACATGTGGACTCTGAAAAAATTGCAAAGCAGGTTAACTTGCTTTTCAAGTTCTCTCTCCACTTTCCTGGACCTCAAACTCGACACGATCTCTGTAATACGGAGGGGTGTGAGGAACTTTGCCATAGACTCCACTTTATAATGATCTTATTTCTAGTTTATAAGTGCATGAGTATCCATTAGTATGTGTGAAGATTGTGCTGCGTGTGTATCCTACTGATGTGCACTGCACTCCCCTTCCCTGCTCATCCCTGTCTCTCTGCTTTCCATCTGTTGCTGCACGGTGATGCTTAATCCGGACACTCGACGGCTTTGTTAGGGGCAACAGACATTCTTATACATGCATCCTTATGCCCATGGGCATAAGTTTCATGGGGTAGATACTGAGAATTTCTAGAACATAAGATATGCAGTTTGAATTTAATAAATATTGATAAATGTCCCTACAAAGCGGGTAAAACAGATCCCATTTCCACTTGAGGTATACTGACAGTACATCTATTTTCTCACATTGATGTTATCATAGTTTTCTCAATTTTTGGCCAACCTACATGTAAAGGAATATTGTAACTCACATGTAATTTGCATGTTCCTGATTATTATAAAAGTCAACTATTAGCTTCTCTATCTTATGTGTATTAAATAATTAGCAGTCTTAAAAATAACTAAATAATAAGCATAGTCTGCTTGTATTACTAATTTCTGTGTATAAATCGGTCTCTTCTATTACACTAGTTCAGAAAGGACAGAGATCTCTTCCACATCACTGCGAAGAGAACACAGTCAACGCTTCATAAATACTGCCCATTTGTTGAATGAAGACTGTAACACTGCAAAAAGAAATGTTATCAACAAGACGAAGTAGGTCAGTGAGCAAATCCCTGTCTGTCTTCTGGAGAATCCTCATTCCTTCCTGTGGCCTTAAGTAAGTGGCCCCAGAAACTTACCATCGTCTGCAGGATAGTCTAAGAAATCATCCCCCTCCTCTTCTTTAGGCTGGTCTCCACCTTCATATTCCCCGGGCTCCTCATCCAGTTTCTCATTTTCTGACCGGTATATGATGATAGATTCGGGGCGGGACTCTTTCCTCTTCTTTTTCCTGCGACCCATTGTGGATTCCCCATCCAGGGCCAAGGCAGCAGCCACAGCCTTCCTCAGAGAGCCCTGGTGGTGGGGGCTTGGGAGCTGGCCCTCGCCTTCTACTGGCGCGAGCTCTTCCATCCTGCTTCCTCACTCTAGTTACTCCTTGTGAAGAGTCTGACCTGCTTCGGCAAACTCACCATCCACACATCACAGAGCTTCTTCCTGGATGGGGCTATGCAAAGATGTTCCATCACTTGAGTTCCACAGGAAAGATAGGAAAGCAAAGCCATCAATGGAAAGGAAATAGGAGGACACCTGGGTGGCTCAGATGGTTAAGCGTGTGCCTTCAGCTCAGGTCATGCTCCCAGGGTCCTGGGATCGAGCCCCACATCGGGCTCCTTGCTCAGCGGGGAGCCCACGTCCCCCCCTCCTTCCGGCTCGTGCTCTCTCTCACTACCTCTGTCTCTCTCAAATAAATCAATAAAATATTAAAAAAAAAAAGAAAGAAAGAAAGAAAGGAAATAGGATGAGATGGAAAGGGGTCTGGGAAATGATTCTCAACTTGGCCAAAGGCTTCTCCTCCCTTTACTTCTCATAACACTGTATTTTGGGAGTGCTGTGGAAATACGCTGACAAGATTGGATTGTTGTGAATAAAACTTTGTGTTGCAATATTTTTGTCATTTATGCAAACTTACAATATTATGCAAAACCCATCAGTTTAGCTGGGAGATATTGAGTATGAGGAAGTTGCGTGAGGAAGACCTATAGATAAATGGGACTTAAGAACTATTCTCACTCCCATGAAACATGACAGTTTGCATGGCTAGGGCCAGTATTCCAGGCAACTGGCTGTCAAGTCCTGCATTACGACCATACTCAAAAGGATGAATGAAACTTTCGTTAAGCTCCCCGAAGACGGCACAATGTCACCAATCGTGTCTACCATGGTATTCTATGAATAACATGTCTCCTGGCTTCTTGTTAGCCCAAGATCCCAGAAAATTCCAGGGATCTGTCCTATCACATGTGGGGAGACCAGTGGAGAGGATGCACACTTTTCCACTCTTAAGATTCTCTCTCCTCTTTCTGTTCTCCAGGTGAAGAGAGGTGGGGAGAGAGGAGAGTCTACATAACATTTTTTAAAGACGTGATTGGCCTGTGTTTTGGGTGCATTGAACCATTAAGAGGAGAGAAATGCTTTCAGTGCTGCTACTGAGGAGGGGAAAATTAGCAAATACCCAGCTAGTCATATTTAGGCAGCTAGTTGCTCGGATGCTTTCTATTTTTATTTTTAAAAAGATTTTATTTGTAAGGAATCTCCACACCCAAATGGGACTCAAACTCACAACCCTGAGATCAAGAGTCTCATGCTCCACCAGCAGAGCCTGCCAGGTACCCTGCTCATATGCTTTTTTTTTTTTTTTAAAGATTTTATTTATTCATGAGAGACAGAGGGGGAGAGAGAGAGAGAGAGAGAGAGAGAGAGAAGGGGAGGGAGAAGCAGGCTCCCAAGGAGCAGGGAGCCGGATGCGGGACTCGATCCTAGGACCCTGGGATCATGACCTGAGCCGAAGGCAGACACTTAACCATCTGAGCCACCCAGGCGCCCCTCATATGCTTTTTTAAACAACAACAACAACAAACAAAAACAAAAACTCAAAAGTATGTTATTATGGACAGTTTCAAACATACTAAATGGAGAACATTTTTATTATGGAAAGAGGCAAACCTGTACAAAAGACAGAGAACAATTTTAAGGACCCCTCATTGTCCCTATCACCCAGTTTCAACAATAATCAAAATATTCATAGCCAATTTATTTAAAGGCAAATCTCAGACACCATTTCATCTATTTCAGTATGTACCTCTTCCATATAAGGAGTCTTAAAAAAAAAAAAGACATAACCAGAGTATCATCATCACACCTCATTGTTTTTTAAAACAATTATTTAATATCATCAAATATCCGGTCAGTTCAAATTTCCTTGTTTGTTTAACAGTTTAAAGTCTATTTTCTGGAATTAGGATCTCAATAAGATCTATGCGATGCACACAGACCCTACCTATGCCTGTTTGTGTACGATAGTTTTGTCCAATAGAATTTCTGCATTGCACCTCACATGATGCTAGTACAACTGAGGAAATGCTTTTTTGAAAAAAATTGAATTCTAGCCAATTTAAAAATAGCCACACGTGCCTACTGACTACTCTATTGGACAGGTCTATATGCTCTCCCTCCAAATATTTTCCTTCCAGTTTCTTTGTTAAACAAAGTTGGTTATTTACCTTGCAGATTCACACAGCCTAGATTTTGCTGACTGCATTCCCATAGGGTGTTCCTCGGAACCATGTATTTCCTGTAAATTGGTAGCTAAATAGGCTTGATTGGATTCATGTTGGAATGTTTTGGGTTGGTTGTTTTGGCCAGACAATGTTATAGAGGGCGTTTTGTACTTGCATCTGAAGACACCTAATGCCAACTGGGCCATTTTTTTTGTGAAATTAGTAGCCATTGATAATCATTGGCTAGATCCATTAATTCATCAGGAGTTGCAAAATGGTGATATTCCAATTCTCTCATTTCTTCTTCATTTATTAGCCAGAATACTCTCATGCACTTTTAACAAACCCAAACAAACTTGGTAGAGGAGGCAAGTGGCCCTGTTATTATCCATTATTATTGGAAATAATACTGGGAAAATATCTTTCTGTAATGACTGCAGTGACAGCTTCTATTAGTATGAAAAATTTCTGACTATTTACCTAATACATTCCCCATTCACAAATAACTGTATTTACAATTGTGCATTGCTAGATTCTACTCACAGCCCTGCCACCCCAGGATCCTGGATACTGGCCACTCTCCAGTGACTCCAGGTTGCCAGCTTTCTGTTACTTTTATTCTCAATTTCCAATTCCTCATTGTCTTTCAGTGGTCTCTGAGTATTTCCTTTCTTTCAATCCCACGTGCATACTCTTTGATTTCTCCGTATCCCCAATAGTGAGGCTTCTCCTCTCATTTGTCTTAAATGGTCCTAATGTCCAGTGGGCTGGCCCAAGCAAGGGGGCAAAAATAAAACAAAAAATCTAACAAGGCTCTAAATGCCACTCGATTTGAAGCAAATCTCATGTCTTAAAATTATGCATCTTTGATATTATCATGTGACAGGGCCAACTCTATATCATATTTCTTCAAATGCCAAAACACATTCTTTTTTCCTCATCTCAGTGTTTCTAAAATTTGGATGCAACTTAATACCAACGGAATGACTTTTCACCCCAAAGGCTGAGCTACCTTCTCAGCAAGTAGCTCTGCTCCACTACCCTTTGCCCAAGTTCTTCTTCGTCATCTATAGTTGTTAATTTTCTTATATGCCTCTCCACTGGATTGCAGGTACTTAGTCTCAATCACCTTTGTGTCCTGGGCACACAGACTGGAATAAAGAAGGTGTTGACTGACAGAAGTGAATATGTCCACAGGTAGAACTGGAAGGCTATAGGAAGTCCTCACAGCCTGACTTTGCCTGGGGCAGGGGAGGCTGTTTGAAAAGAAGGAGCCTCATTATCTTCACAATCTTATGTAAGAGCCTTTAGGTGATGTGTCTAAGAACAGAAAGATCCAGAGCACAAAGGCTTTCCAAGATAAATTGAGTCAGGACTCAAGGAACTCAACCATTAGAAAGATTTGAGGAATCTGAAGAGAAGCCAGAATATGGAACTCAACCATTAGAATACTGAGTTTGCCTTAGGGAGTGTTTAATTTTGCCGTAAGGGTGTCTATAAGCTCAGACGGTACTCTCCTACCAAAGTAGCCCCAGGACAGAAGAGTAGCCATCCAGCCAGAAAGGACTAGAAAGATAGGCTGTGTGTGGCTCTCCCTAAGGTTTGAGTTTTGTTGTTAAAAATGTATGTGAATTTTGAATTATACTTTCTAAGAGTCTGTATTTAATATAAAATGTTTTCCCTGCTGCAAATCCTCTAGTAAAAATGATACTTGGTAAGTCATATCAAGGTAATTCTATGATGCAAGTGATCTCTGAACGCACCACTTTATATCTACTCTAAGGGTACAAACACCAGAGCTTGAGAGTGTGAAAATAAACCAAAGAGGTTTCATTTAAAATAGAGTCAGGAAGCCCAGGCAGGGGAGCTCTCAGGCATCTACCACTCCTTGCAGCCTGCACAACTGGCAGAAAGAGAAAGGTAAGAATTATCTTGACAGTTATCTTTTTTTTTAAGTTTTATTTATTTAAGTAATCTCTACACCCATCAGGGCCTGAACTCACAACCCCAGCATCAAGAGTCTCATGCTCTACCAGCTGAGCCAGCCAGGTACCCCTCTTGAAAATTATCTTAAGGCCATTTTTCACATAGGAATTTCATCGCCTGCTTTTATGAAAAGGAAGGATGAGTCTTCCCTGCCCCAGCAACAATCACTAACCACTGCTTGCAGCCAATGTGAACCAGCCACAGCCTCGAACTCTTTGTTTTACAATGAACTTTTGTTCAAAACAACCCTCCCCAATTTCTTCCCAAAACTTAATAAAAGCTGATCTTCCCTTTGTCTCTTTGGACTCATCTATGGTTCATCATGCATGCATGGAGTAATAATCACTGTTAATGGGCTTTTGCAAACAGAATAATGTGTGGTGTTCTAACTCTTCAGTTTTGGGTGGCTACAACAGACCGGTGTTAGATAATAGTAAGAGTTTCTGGAGCCCTAGAACAGAACACAGAAAACAGGAGTCAAGAGAAGCACTGGCGTCTCTTGGGGATGTAAAGAGAAACATGACTATCTTGTCAGCTGATGGGGTGGTGGGAGGAACAATTCTATCTGTAAGCAAGGATGGAGATGACCCTTGGAAACCCCATTAAAATCCTTTAGAGGAAGCATTAAGTATAAAGAGTTGGTGAGCTCCTGGTAATTCACCTTAGGGGTCTATTCCCTGCTTCCGGGCACAGCTATTTTTAGACAGGTATACAGCCAGTGTCTACTTACGAAATAGGTAACTGTCCCTGATTCACCTCAAAACATGATTTGAGGGGCTCCTGGGTGGCTCAGAGCCCCACGTTGGGTGTAGAGCTTACTTACAAAACAAAAACCAAACAACAACAACAACAAAACCCCCATGATTTGAGAGTACAAAATGGCCCGACAAACTTAAAGTTGGTTTGTTTGGTAGCTCTGGTAAAAGATAGCCATCAGAGCCAGTTTTGAACTTGTTCAATTGATCAACAACAATTTCCCTCAATGGAGATGTTTTGGAAACCAGCCCAT